TTCTTTAATTAACTTTTTGAACTTTTGCAAGTTTAAACTTGCCAATAAAGGAAGGCAATTAGTATACAAAGATAAACTTTTAATGCATCAGCTTTATAATAATAAGTTGAAAGAAATAATATCAGGTATATATGACAATTATTCAAGTGAAATAAGAATATACGTAAGTGACCTTTTAAATTTTTCAGATGATAATTTAAAAACAATGTAGAAAAAAAGTTTAAGAATGAACAACTAAAAGAGGCTTTAGAACTATTTCAGGTATAGTCACTTAAGTTTAGCTTCTATGCTAGAAATAGTATAATATCCATGATTTTTTTGTATTAGCTAGTTATTTGCAATTCAACTTTATAAACTTTCATAATTTTACAATACAATAATTATCACTGCATAACTCAACGTAAAAAAAAAACCAGTTTGTTAGATGATCAATATTTAGTTGTTTGCAATATATCATCTAATATCTTGTGTATTCTAAGTGAATTTTTGTAATAATTTTTGTTAAATACTGGTTGTTTTATGTCAAGAAAAGTTTGGGTGTTTGCAATATATCATCCAATGTTCTTTAATATAATTTCTATAATTGCATGATAAGTTTGTTGTCTTTTGGTTTAAAAGACAATATACTTTTATAATTTTACATTAGGTCGTAGATTTTAATAAATTATGTAAAGGAATTTGCTAATTCAATAATATATAAAAGGTTTTTAATTGCAATACCTTAATTAAATTTTCATTACTATATCATTAATATTTATGACTATCTCGAATTTATAGAACCAAATCGAAAATGGTAACTACAAAATTTTTTAGTTTTGGGTAAATATTACAAAACCACATACTGGTAAGATTTCAAGCACAACTCAGGTTACAAATTATCTTGAAGCTTAAAATACGATGATTTGAGTTTTTTTAACAGGAATTTTAATTTTAATCTAGAGCATTACAATACAGATGTCCTATCAAGTGTGCAGACTGCTATATATTCTTGCACTGATAGAGCACAACTAATAACTATCGTGAATTATCTGAAAAATATTTCAGAAGTTCAGATTAAAGAAATTCTTCTACGAGCAGAAATTAAAAAAAAAGAAAAAATTATCAAATCATATATGAACTTTCCAGTAAGTTTTTTAGATTTATTAGTTTATTAATATTTTAAATTAATATGTATTCAAATTATAGGCGAATACCAAGCCACAATAGTTTTTCAAAAAGCTAAAAGATCTTGGTAAAATAAAGGAAAAGCTTCTAGAACTTCCAGTCTGTATATCACTATAATAAGGTTTGGAATTTCCATTTGACCAAAGACAAGTTGTTTTATTCCCTTTAATTATAATTTTTTCAGAAATAATATTTTTTTCTTTATCCTCAATATCATTAAAATATTCCTGTGCTTGATTAAATGCAGAAGGTAAAAATCCAAAGGGCGGCTGATGATGCCAACTTTTGCGTTCTACAATATACTTTGCAGGATGTTCGGGACTAATCATTTATTAAATCTGTTTTAATTTAAATATGATTTAAGCAAAGTTTTGTATAATAAATTCTAGTCAACTTGTGGTCAGCTATCTTACCCATGAAGATGAAAGTGTTGCAATAGGCTATCTAAAACTGTATTGAGAGGATGATATATATATTTATAAACATATCGTGATTCAAGGCTAACAGCAGGTGGGTTAATCCATTTGAGTAGCCTGTGAACCAAAAGAAAATAATGAGATTGAAAGCAAGATTAACAATAATATAACAGTGTAAAACTTGCTATGACTTCATAATGGCTTTGCAATAATTTTGATGTAATCCATCTAAATCAGAATATAATTCTATTTGAGATGAAGGTTCA